AGTAGGACAAAATTGGGGGGCGGATTGAAATTACATTAATTAATATTAATACCCAGATATTTGCTGTCGTTTGTTTATATTCTTGTCTAACTATGCCTGCTATTTAGTGACAATCGTACGATTATACAAATTGATCATTCAGCATAACATTGATATCGAAACATCACTGATAGCACTTTGAAAATTAACAAATCTACTGTATCTGCACATTGTCAAAGAATCAGACGCCATTGTAGTTAAACATAGAGCAAGTTTATATATCATCGTGCGATTGTTCGCTGTAAACGAAGTAGTATCAGCAATAAAACTCCAATACGATCTTGAATGTAATCGAAGCTACCAATGAAGACCAAGAGGAAGAAAAGTCCTTCCGTGAACTAGAATATTATCTCACGGAAACTAAAGGCATTATCGTCGAACAATAACTTTGTTAGTGTGGATGACATTAAACAGGTCCACGTGATAATTTGCAATACGTAACACAACTCTTACCAAGTTATTTAAGGCGTAAACACGACAAACGCGGTACGCCTACTTCTGGTTAAGAACTCGGACGGCCAGAACAAGAATATTACCTGTGGTTGGAAGTACTACAAGACCAACCTTAATTGCGAACTTCGCGTACCCACTTATCTCGAGTCACTCACGGTTCCTATCGCGTATTTCATTAATTTCTTTATGTCCTATTAGAAAAATGGTGACCCCGCCAGGCTTTCGAGCGATTTTAATAATAACTGTGTGGGACGTCATAGCACTTCTCTGGACTTTTTACAATCGAATCAAACTCGTGATGTTAATAGACGAAAATCACGTATCTTGCGAAAAGTCTGGAACGGCTAGCGAAACCACTAATTTCGGGGAAAGATCGAATACAGTGGGCTCGGGAACATCGGGAATGGACTGCAAATGGTTGGAAAAAAGTAATACGGTGGCAAACCACACTGCTCTCGAATTGTAAACCTAACATGGGCATATTCAAGGTATTAATTATATAAATTATGCTATGTATAAATTAACAAATAACGGGTATATCAGTGAAAACGTGACTTTACTGCGGATATATCAAAAACGGAACGCTAATCTATGTTATTGTATACCCATAGTCTCTATAGCTTTGAATACATTCCACACGAGACAGGAAGATTTTTTTTATACTTCAACATGAGCTCGATTATAAGAAAAAGTTCAACCAGTCGGAAATAGAATTTTTCGAAACCCACAACGACTGGATTTTAACTGGTTGATCACATCGTCTTCCCGGATAAAAAGAAGTTGAGCAAAGAAAGAAAAACAAAAATTATTCAGACTCTTAAGTTGTGCAAGCAAGAAGAACTCTCGATATAGGCGATTAGCGCAATCCTTTAAACTCTGCAAAGTAGGCAATGGATCAAGAGAACTGTGAGCATTATACGAATATGGCATTGGGGTGTAAGGTTTTCTTGAAGAATTAGTTCACTTATTTGTGTTTTGTACCTTTGAAAGTACTGAAGTATATATAAGTGGTTACAAGAACTCGGACGGCCAGAACAAGAATATCTTGCGAAAAGTCTGGAACAGCTAGCGAAGATAATAATGATGTTGGAACCAGTAATATTGCAATAGACCTCAAATATTGCCCTAACTCCGGAACAGTTAAAAAGTTGCAGGCGTCCTTGGAAAAATGTTCCGAATCGGTACTATGAAAAGCGATACGTGGACAAAGGAGATCCCTAATGAAGCGCGTCGTCTTGTTCTCCCGGAATAATACCTTTTATGATCAGCTCACGATCGTGGTGATCGCAATCCAAAAATGCTTGATTATATGGATGATTCGTTTTTAACCATATCATTATTATTGGAGAAATCAATTACGGAATAGTTTTTATGGATTGAAATGGTCGTTTATTTCATTGGGAAGATATGTTGGGACTGTTGTGAAGATGATAGAAATGTACACAAATACAAAAAAAATAAATCTTAATGTGATATTTGCACTTGCGAGATAGAATTTAAAAAATACAAGATTGCAAACAAAATTACAATTTGCTTTTACATTATTTGCGAAATAGTAAAGAGTTTACTAAATAAAAATTTAGCATCAACGTGTACCGTTTAACAATAGGGTGAATTGGAACATATTGGTGGGAAAAAGGTGAAAGGACAAATTTATGATTTTATTAAATGCCAAGCGCAAAACTTTATGTAAGCAGATACAGAAAACTTTAAGGATTGACATTTTATTCGAAAAATAGGAACGGATAAGATTCAATACATGATGCAGATACTATTTCAAGATTTACTAACTCCCAGGTTCAAACGGTTATAGATCGCATCACCGAAAAGCCTCAAACGGATCCCTTGGCTTCAGCTGAGGTAAACGCTTCGTCCGCGCCTCCTACTTCAATCGATGTCTCGCATTCGGAGAGGAGATGTCATCGAAGATTTCCCAATTTATTATGATGATTGGGTAGAGGAAGACGAAGTGATACTGAATCTATAGACTCGAATCAAATATCATTCCGAAAAAATAGATGCTCGACAAAAGATTCCTCCCGGGTTACAAAGTATGGATAAAATACAAATCTTAGATCTTGCAATAAATATACTCAGCACAAATAATAAAACTATTCTTGCTTCTGGTATTTATATCCCGAAGATGAACTCATGCATTTTATGTATCCGGATGAGGATGTGGATGTGGATGAGCGTGGAGAGAAAGAATTTCCGATACCAGCAATAAGAGTAGCTATAGACTCTTCCTCCAGAGAATATGTTCAACCGGACTCTCATATTTGTTAATGTGGAAACGAGCTTATTGAAAATTAAAGTCAGCTATAAAACTCAGGAAAATGTAAATACAAGTCTAATCATTAAGAAAGGCGTTTTACTTCCATTGCTGGAAACTTATCAGAAAGTGCTTTCCTAATTTAATAATTACACCACCAGTGATAAGCCAGAAATTTTATCTCCTGAAAAGCTTTACGAGTTACAAATGTAATCGAGGCACTAAGGGGGGAGAATACTATCTCCAGAGTTGCAAAGTTTTATTATTTGCTTCGCTTACTCTACGATTGTTAGACTTATTCCTTGTCTTGGTTCCATTACTGATTTTCTGTAAATCAATTTCATTGTAGTCCCATATATAGTTGACTCTTGTCAATATGTAAATGGCGGATGAATCAGATAGCAAAGTCACACGGTAAAAGCATAGTAGCACAGTTATTGATTGTTTCACGAGTTACCTCGGAGGGGTACATTTTTGTCCTCCACTATAATATGAAGACGATGCTTTTTCATTGTCAAAATAGCTCGGTTCGCTAATTCAAAATGTCTTGATAACAAAAGATTTCACAAGACAGTCACTAGAATGATAACTATTTATTTCCAATCGAGTTGTTCGTACAGCGATCGGATCTTTAGCGGATTCGCTCTAAGGGATGTAAGTGCCAATATATCTTACTATCGCCGAAGGGCGATATCATCATTGATTTGACTAGTAAATTGTTACTAACTTAACAAAATAAAAGGGTTGATTTATAAATATCCCCACAACTCGGCGTTCAATGGTATCCATCATACGTGATCGGATTTTGTTGGATACGATTAGTGCTGCGTACTAATTCGTATAGTGGTAACACGTGACAATAAATAATGTCGTTCAAATTTAGTTTAGTCTGAATGACTGCTTGCAGTAAAGGCTGATGTTCGAGTTAAATCTTCCGGTTGGCGAACTTGGTCTACATAATCAAGTTACGTTCTTTAACGCAATTAAAAATAGACACTAAATCATTCACAAAGACCTTTTCTAATTACATAATTCTTTTCTCATAATCAATTTCGGTTTTTTATTGTAGCAGGTTCCCATATAATCAATTTCGTGCAACCGCTCAAATTTTAAAGCGAGGATAACACTTTGACACGCGATTGTTGTGTTATTCTCCCCTTGGGCTCATATGATACCTGTGTAACTGTCCTGCCACGTTCGGTTTGGACCGGAAAATTTCGGACTTTTGTGTGTAACTAAGTGTATATCTGTAGTCTCGGTATTACTGCTACCCGTTCTGATTTGGGTAGCCGTTGTTATCTCTCTTTGAATTCTAAAAACTGTACAACACATTACGCTAGCTGAAATGTTCGGCCGGCACCCCCCTGAATCACAAAGTCTCCCCCCTCGTTTTTCATCCTGCATTTCACACTGGTTTACAATATTCCGTATCCCAAATTGTGTATGATATTCCGATGAACATTCGCGTGCTTAATAATATGCGCCCAGGTCATGCCCATTAATATATTAATGTTATTACATAATCATTTCGTGCCAATCGCAAATTTAATACCCAGCCTAGTATGTTACACCGTCGATAACCCGGAATATCACAACATGCCCCCCGCCATTCACAAATGAAATTTTTTCGATTCAATACCTCATCTCACATTTTTTATTATTTTCGCAAAGCAAAATAAAAAAATATATATCCCACAAAATACATAATAACAAACCCTATGTGATATATTTATACAAGAGTCCATTCTCTTGAAAATCTTTAATATTAGATCTTCTCTCAGCGTAATGGATAGTAGAGTTCTTGGGTCTTTGTGTATGTTTTTTTTTTTCATACTTAAAAGAAAAAGAAAATAAAAAAAAAAGAATAAAATAAAAAAAAGTTCAAAAGATGGCTTTCTTGGAAACATGTATACATATATATATATGAATGCGTGTATATAGCAAAGAAAATGAAAAATAATATATTATACCTACAAAAAGAAATAAAAACAAGACAAACTAATTACAAGCTAAAGAGAGAGAAATGTCACCATCCGCTGAGAGAAAACCGGACCTTCTAGGTCCAAAGCAGTAAAGTAACCAGAAAAAAAAAATCCATAGTTTTTTATCAAAGTTTTTGATTAATGGGTGTAAGATGGGCAAGAAAAGAATAAAGTCTTTTTGATTTGGAATGTATTTACTAATTTCATCTGATTTTGATTTTAAGCAAAAGCAAATTAAAAAAAAGAAAACTGATTTAAAAGCAAGCCATCTTCTGTCGTCGTCCAGATTCGTATCCATCGATAGACCATATCCTCCCCGATTCAATTCCATCAACCAACCGTTGTACAATCCATTTTTCTTTTGTTATTATATCTAAATCGTCCTTTGATCTCTTAACTGCATCGTATCTCCTCGTCTCCGCTATTATGAAATCCAATATCGGATCTGATGTTAGTGCTCCATCGACCCAGTCCACAGATATACCGGCAAGATAATCTCTATCTAGACAGAACTTTTGATAAAATCGAGGAGCGCCCACGATCATGTTTAATTTTGGTAACGCTTGTTGTAAGGCCGAATCAAAGAATGGCCGATATGCTGACAAGTCTGGTGGACTGGTTGGAGATTGTGATATTATACAATGGTTATGGTCTGTGGAAACTGTATATTTAGGTGAGGATTCGGTGGTGTAATCGGCGGGAGGTGATGAAAATGATGGTGGTGATGGTAATGGTGGTGGTGATGGTAATGATGGTGGTGGTGATGGTAAGCGAGAGTATGTAGTTGATGAGAATGGTTTCGACGCTGGTTCGAGGGGGGCTTCGACGAATATTGTTGGCCGTATTATATCTTCAGCGACTGCTGCAATTGTTGTCTCGTCGGCTGTCGTTCGTACTGGTGCCGAGGATGCTGTATCTTCTGATCTCGATATATAAACATAGCCATCTTCATCCTCCTCCTGATTTAGATCATCCAAGCATGCCTCTAGCCAATTCTGTTCGTCTCTCTTGACATCCTCGTCAGACCATTCAAGTGGTTCATATTCTTCTGGGGCGACGAATTTGTTATATACGAAACTATTTATAAGCACCAACTTCCGAAGCCCGTCGGTTGTATCCCGACGGGTTACTTGGAAGGAATGTAGTTTATGGAGGGAAACGTTGTAAATATGTGATAAGTCCATTATTGGCGACATTGTTGCCATAATATGTTGTGTGATTAACTGACTTGTGGTTGTGAATGTAAATGTAAATGCGTATTGATGTCGTAGAGGGATAGTAGTATTTATAGAGACGTAACCGTAGTTTTCCGCAGTAGCCAACCGCAGTCGTATCGTTTGTAAATTCAATCGGGCAAAACGGTTGGTGCGTTGGCGACAAGAAAAGCCGGGAAAGTACTGCGCTTTGTTTCAGTATTTCTAGGCGTAGTTACTGGGATACGTGGCAAAGTATATAGTAAAGTTGTCGAGTTAATTGTGACCAGTAGTAAAATTATATGGTAATTCTGTTGTTAATAAGATGATTTTCATTGATTTTCGAAAAAGACTTGTGTGTCTAAAAATTTGATAGTTTCTGGATAATCTGGTTATGGAATAATGACGAGTATTGGGAAGGTGAAGGTTTTGTTTAGGGTGATGCGAAGTATTAGTAAGTAAAGTGAAAATTGAATATAATAGTCGATTGTGTTTAGTAGTAAAATGTAATGCGGGAATCAGTCTTTGTCTCGAGAGACAACCTACGAAATTATTTCCGACGCTTCATGGTTAGAAGTGGAATAAAATCTAGAATGTCTGTGTTGTGTTAGTTGTAATAGTGTTGTTGAGAGTACTGCGTGAGTTTCTCCGCATCAGACGCAAGAGTGTTACAGAGCACAAAGTTAAAGATAGTGACTAGTATGAAGAGAGAATGATTTGTTGCTGGCGCTTTTATTATTGTCGCTCGTTGATGTGGTGGTTTAGAAAGTCATCTTGACATGTTTAGACGGGTATTTGTGAGTAAAAAACAAGAAAGGCACGTAGTACTTATATCGTAGAGAGGGGGTGGTAAAGCAAGCTGATCTGCACTATCGTTGTGGTTATTTGTATTGTATATTGGGTTGTTTATTGTGGCATGTAGTACAATATGATTGGGTAATGCTGTAAAAGTGAGTCATAAGATATGGTAGCATATAATATAATTATCAACTATTGTGTGATCGTGGTAATATGAACAGATACCATGTACTATCAATATAAATAACGTTATTTGCAAATTGGGGAAACGCAATTCTTGCTTAACACATGACCTTAATAAGAATTTGTAAGAAACTATAATGGAAATAAATAAAAACATGTTAATATGTATTCACAGTATTGTTATGAATATCGGTTGTATTGTACTTGACTGACCGTATCAGCGTTAGTTATGGTAAGACTTCCGATGTCTTTATAATCCTTGTATTGTGAAGGATGTTCGCTTTGTCTCGAGAATATTTTGTTTCACAGCTGTCCGGTGACTATGCACTGCTACCTACGTGACTATTACTTAGCCCAATACATGGGCGTCAACTAATCCAATTAGGTGTAGCTCGTGTGTTTACTAACACAACAAACGTCATAACATCGATCCAACGACGGCAAATTGCAGCGAAAAGACGACAAACGAGATAAGACTGAAAATGGTAACTCGAGTTACACAGTCGGTAGCCACTGCTGCTGTATTATTGTAAATAACTATCTTTGTTCTACACAATGTACGTGTTGGAGTTTCCCCTGCGTTAACCTTCTTCGATTAATTATTCATAGAATTGCGTCATATCGAGAATATTAAATGAAAGATCACTTGACAATGTTCTCCATTTCTCCCTGTTCTTTCATCATCCCCGATAGACGTATTGGCTCATGTTGTTTGTATTGACCAGTGGATAGTCCTCGGGCGTAGAGAAAAAAAGTTTTAGCGTTTTCGGGTTAATTTTTTATTTGCATTTGACGCATGAGCCACGTTCAATCAATCCCCCCAATGGGCAAGTTGGAAAGCACTAGGAAGACAGGTCCTGTCGCAGGCCTAACCATTATTTAGTTAAATAAACATACGGCAAAAGATATAATGTATGCATCATATTTATTAGGATCCGAGCAGTTGGTGACAAATTATTAATTTCGGCATTTATATTTATATGTGCCATTCTCCCACATCATCTTCCCAGACAAGCTTTGCCTCTGTGGTACAATTTATAATATTCCCATCAGGTGACTCGAGACATTGATAACGAGGAGTATTTCTCTATTGTTGAAATGTAGAATGAAGCACGCAAGGCAGCGAATCTATGGTGGGACTAAGCTGCAAAGAATGTGCAGTTCATCAGTATTATTAGACTGCTATTGGTGCATATCGTAATCTTACCGCATCTGTTCTCATGACTGAGCGAAATGGAATGCCCATCTCAGCAAAATATGCAAGAAATTGTAGACAACGATCCCGTACATAAGGGGGTGGGGTAGGGTACCTTTCGATGAATCGATTAAGCAGCCCCCACCTCGTTATCTGTTGTATCGATATCCGGGACTGTCATTATTAAAGTCACTTAATAGTACACCATTTCGCATCATATCTCTGACGGATTACAATATTTCATTGTTGAAAATTTGAGACATCACTGACATCACTGACCACGCGGCACCATGCAACGCGGCCGTATGCAGTAACAAAAGGCTGGCTATCTCATATTGTCCGTCTTGCAATTATTGATGTAACAGATTAGGTTTCATTTAATCACATGATTTATTAATTGCGCTGAGATATGTGAGATAGAGATGATTATAAGCAAAGGAGCGAGGCTGATGTTAATTGTCCCAGCTTGTTAGACCCCTTTGGGAATGAAAAAGACAGCCGACTTATGTTATCATGCTGTATTACGAGTTATCAGTAAATAAAATCTCTTCCAGACAATGACAACATGTATTTTTAAGGAATGGTTCCTGATAACAAATAATTGATTGGTTGGATAATGATAACGAGTAAATATTCCAGATTTCCCATTTGGCGAGCGATAAAGATTCAAGGTTTGCTTTACGAAACAAACATCAGGTAATTTATACTGCAACTCTGTCCAACTCATCTAATTATACAGGTATACCCACACGGAGTAAATATTCGACTTCCGCCTTACATACGTCGCCTGATGACATTGTCGTTTCATAATATGCTTCCGTAATCGGTAACTAACGTATATGTTAGTTAATATTAACGTGGAAAAATCTACACTCCCACGGTTTTACTAAGGCTAATTTCTTTCAACTAATATATAACATATAGATGGCACGTACTGTAGCTATATATTAATTTTCATTTTGGTTGTATATACGCTGATGCACACGATACCATCCATCTCTTATGTGCATGCTCTGTTAACGTTAACATAAGTTTGACTAATAGAGAACACAAATCCTTTTTGATTAGGTATCCTGCATATTTCGTGCCATATCTTCAATCATAACATTAAAAGTTTCCATATCCAGAGCTGGGGAAAACTAAACAAATTACTATATACTCAGTCATTCAATTTCAAAATCTCGCGTCTAAAAGTTCTCAGTCCGTTTCTCATCCTTCGGCTGTCTAAACTCGAGAGTACTTAAACTGTAGTGTTGGCAAATTTGCCTACAATTTTGATTCACTAACAAAAATCGCTTTATATCACCTGATGCCACTAAGTGAATTCCCCCAACATAAGATGATCGCTCGTTTTTCTGGCCGTAGTGCACACACGATAAGAAACCAACGCCAGAGGGTTATAAAATTCTTTCCCCTCTGTGATGCTGGATATACATATACGTTTATGTTTACTTCACGGATTACAGAAATAGAGCCTGTCATTGGACTTAATGAGACAGGGCGTTTAGTATGGCATTTGGTGAAACAACTTCCCCATAACAAAACCTTCATGTATATCTTACATATATATGGACAATTATTTTCCACTTAAATATATGTATAGTTGCATGTGGAACTGTCCATACCAATTCAGCTAAATCCCTAAGGATTAAAAGTAGGCAAAACTTGAACACAAAACCTTCTGGAAAAGTGATAGATAATGTTTTAGCTACTTTATGGATTAGGATTGACAACGGACCAGTAACAATGCTTACTACTATTCATAAAATTAAAGGTGATGAATGGAAAGTTATTTGTAATTGAAGATGCCCAAGAGAAACAAGCTCTAATGCTGACACAGTACATCAAGTTTTTGGTAATGCCCTAGAAAAGAGTTGGCAATTCCAAAAGTGATTGAGTTTTCGAGGTCTTTATTTCAAAAGTGATTGATGATTACAACCACTATATGTGAGGTGTTGATATTGCTGACCAACTAAGAGGCTATTATAATTGCCAACTAACAGTTCATTGTACCTGGTCTCCTTTACTATTTTGGTTGCTAGACACTGTGCTTGTTAATTGTTCTATCCTTTACCACAAAGCACAGATAAAATAAACCTTCAGAATTAATATTAACCTGGCATGGGACTTGATCAAAAGCACTTTGTATATTTGGTGGGTCCTTTATTGGGCACAACTATGGTGGACTGCTAAAGCTGTTGTTTCTATCACATTACTATATACACATAATAATAATAGATCCCAACAGGATCAAAAGCACTTTGAATAATGTCAATAGAATTGAAACCAGAGATCAGTCTTCTTATGAAGAAACAATTCCTCAGACACAATTAAAAAGTGCTTATGTCACCAAAAATTTTGAGCTACCTATCTCTCATTTAATACCTGGAAATCACTTTCCAGAATGGAGAGAAAAGAGAGCAGTATGCATATACTGCCAGCATTGGCTAAAAGTAGCTCTAAAAGCAGTAAGAATGAAAGTCAATTATGGTGCATTAAATGTGTTGTTGCTCTAAAACACATCCTAATACTAATTGTTTTAAAGATTATCTATTATCATGCTAAAACTGAATAAATTTTATTAAATTTTGTTTAGTAATTATTGATCCAATTAATTTTTTTTAAAAAAAAAACACAAATAAATTATTAATACTTAATTTAAATTTACATAGCATATAGAAACTATCAGTAACTTTACATAAAAAAAGGAGTTATCTTTAAACAATTATTACTTGACACGAACTCAGCCATTTGCGGCTCATTAGAATCACAATAAGATATGAGTGAGAATTAGTTAAGCAAACAATGGAAGTCTGCATAATATTAAAAAGGTGCAAAGAGTTGATATAATATTTTTGTGTAGTATGATATTTATGCTTTATGGACAGGCTTGATGGCAATATTATTTAGTTTCTCAGAATTGCAAAGACTTGCTAAAACTTTTTTATTAATGCACTAGGCACAAGTAGCTTAGAAAAATGTCCTCAAAAATGCCAAACAAATTCTATGCTATCAGTGCAGTAAACGGTCATGTTTTAGCACTGCAAGTAGTTATCTTCAAACAGCTATTACACATCACAGAAGCATCTGTTCGCCATAATTTATGGTTTGTTAGATTTGTACTTAAAAATATAAATAATATTATGTAAAATTTACTAGATAAAACAGGTTTCCTAGCTTCTAGCATAATTCTTGAACCTGTCAGGTCTTTTTTTGGATTGGAAATCGCTTATTCAAAGTTTGCACGTTAATACTCAATTCAATACATAAATATAGGTCCATTTGAGGCATTATCCTGTTCGTCTTTAGCTAAGTTATTGCTGTTTGTCTCCGAATTTAGACAGGATAAAAATAAAAATTTTTTATCATCCGTAGCTAGTCTCTTGTAAAACAATCGCGCGTTATCATTGAATAAGAAGAGAAGGGAATAGGAATAGAATACTATATCCACCGGCATGCTTGTTGTATCTATTCCTTCTAAGGTAGGAAGAGTTTACGAAGTCAGTGATCCGTTTGTGGAGATGAAATTTCATCGATAATTCACGTTTTCTGATCATTAGGTTTTTTCAATAACTTCTCTTATTATTATCAGGTGTTCGATTTCTTCCAATAGAATAAATCGCCAATGGAACTTATTATAATTTTTACGATTCTATCCAGATACGAAAAATTGCATACTAATACACAACGATCCAGATCGGCACAGAAATTTTCAATCGAATCCTGAATTGGCTTCTTCAAGCATTTCATTGACGCGCGTTTATTAAATACAGTCAGGCCCCCCTACAGTCACAGTCACCCCCCCTACAATCACAGATTTTTGCGGGACGGAATCTTGTAATAGTAAAATTTCCCCCAAGAGTCACATTACTGGTTGTAATCACTATCACACTTGTTGAGAGGTCAAAAAGGCTTTTTTGATAGTAAATCGACCCCCTTTACAGTCAATTCACGTGACTTAAATGTTGTGTTTACCCATTATTTTTGTTGCAGATTATAATACATCGTAACTCAACGCTTTGCTTGTTAAACTTACTATGCTCGCAGCAGCAACAAAAAAAGACATCGTTCACAAATAGCTGACATTCGTAAAGAAATATGTAATTATGCACAGAAGTTTCCTAATAAAAAACACCAATCCATTGCCGATTTCTTCAATGATCAATATTCAACTCTTAATATTGACAGGTCCACAATTTCGAAAATTGGTATAATAAATTAAATGCTTTTGCTTTATTCATTTATATTACTATGAGTTCTTCACACTAGCAATAATAATAAACACATGTTTGTTACTTTAGTAAGACAGCAGTGCAGATTAATATTAATATAGTAAATAAATACATGTAGTCAAAGAGCACATAATGAGAAACACGCCCAATCACTATATTTGCATTATGAGCCAATCAAAATTTAATTTTAATTTCGGCCAATTAAAAAATAGCTTATCATCGGCCAATCGCATGGATTTTTAATCATTGCTTAAATATAAAAGAAGCATGACACGCGACCGTGTGTTTATTCATTATATCTACACAACAGGTGAGTCTAAATAAAATTTGTTTTCAAAAACCTTACGCTATAAGCAAAGGTCTGCTGCAGTTTTAATCATTGTTAAAAGTCGCACACAATAAATCTGTCTTTTCATGCAATACATGTTTCATAATGCGTTTATAAGATGTTACTATCTGATCGCTCTCGTTTCCACTTTAAACACATTACTAGAACAAAACACTAAATATTAACCCTAACCTTAAACCAAATCTAGGCAGAAACCAACTCCCCCCCTTTTAGTCGCCGTCTCTCGCTCAGAGGAGACGCAGGATATAGGACACGGTATTGAAATCGCATAACTCGTTTGTCTTTACTTGTACGTATATACAATTATAATACATATTAATATAAATCATGAAATTATCTTCAGATTACCAAGGGCCGCCTGCCGTCATGTCAAATGCGATGAGACTGCCACACTCATAATAAATAATAATGATTCTATGACGGTGGGTGATTATGAGCAAATCGTGACTGGGGAGAAGTTGGACATTCCTTTCTCAAAAACCACAGCTCGCTTTCCCAATTGCCCCCATTGCTTTCTTGTCTCTCTGCTCTACTACCACATCACTACAACATCTTAGCCTGACCTACTCTTTGTTGCACGCCTACTTGATGTCCTTGCTCCCGACGCGTCAGACCGCAACTGTTCAAACCCATTCACACTCACCGTAACAGACTTTGACGGTATAGGTAAGTATGGTCGTCAGTACCATATTCAAGCATAGATACTTGTCAATCGAAGGGCGTTGACAAATTTCGAGGACTCATTCCTGGGAGGACGTGAAATTTCTTTCTCTTGTGTTTTCCATCTCCATCGTCTCCATATTAATATCATTTTGCCTTTTTCCCCTCCCCCCTCTTCTTGTTATCTTTATGATCCTGTCACATGATATGCGGGTAATAGAATTCCAGTGAACCATTTTAATATCCATAATCTCCATCGTCTCCATATTAATATCCATCATCTCCATATCCATTCCATCGTCTCCGTTTCCATCATCTCCATCTCTATTCACCTCTGACTGTATACATCCAATTCTTTTTTTTAGAACTACCTGCCTATCGATGTAGCGTATGCTGCGGCAAAGAGGATCGGGCCATATATGTTTCTGGTGATATCGCCTACGAAAAAGGTGACAGAGTAGGTCACGGTTACGTGAATGATGATAAAGTCCTGTTTACAATACTATCCGATCTCATTGTTCTGTAAATTGAAATTTTGTATAATATTTCACAAATTACTGTTCATATTCATATTCACATGTGTATTCATTTGACGTAATTGCATTAATAAGGATAGCATAATAATGCCCTTGGAAAATCTTCAGCATGGGGGGCATAGGTGTCTGTCTTCAAAAAGTCATTACTCCTCACTGGTTTATCCGTTTGCTGAGATCAAAGAAAAATATATGGTAGCACAATTTGCAAAAATTTACATGCGAATAATTTTTTAACTTGACACTATTCTTCAACCATAAAAGTAATTCAGCTTGTCCTGGAGATTTAAATCAAAGTACAAATAGCATAGTAATAATATCCTCACAAAATTAAGGGTCAAGATCTGCCCAAAATTGGCCTACAGATTAAGGGATAAATATAAAGTGAAAGTCAATTGCAACAATCCAATTAATAATACTGTTATTATTATAGCTTTCTCTAACAATTGATGCACAGACTTAAGATGGTATGGTTTGCTAAACCACAAGAAAAGTTATGATTCGTTTTTATAGGATCTTTATTGGCAACTACAGAAAACTGCTAAAGCTGCTTTTAGACAGCTAGTACATATATACATGACTAAACTGAATCAATATGTTATTTCATTGTTAATAAGGTTAGATAAAGTATTTATAGATGCCCAGAGTGGTGAGGAGTATGTCAGGGAGAATAGGTGGAGAGGAGGAGCCAAAGATCATGATAGAAACATGGGGCACTTGTGACGTCAGTGCCTGGAGTATTTTCATACTATCTACTCCAACTGTTTGTAAGTGATTAGATTCTGATCGAAGCACAATACGAATAGCTTGTTTGCAAAACGCCATTTAATTATGCACTCTTTAGGCAGGCCAACACAACAAGTTATACAACGCGAACACAAAGAATCTTAACCACCTGAGAGAACTTCTTCAGGTTTTGGTTTTCTTTATCTTGGGAGTAGAGTTTGAAAAAGTCAAGGTATCTTCCTGGAGCGCATAATTGCGTCTTCGTCTGAGTCTTGCGTGTTCGATCTTGAGCGTGATGCAAAGGTCCATCAGCCTGCTTAATCGCACCTTCAAAATAATTATAGTTGATTATGGCATGCTGTATATATTGACGAGAAACTTTTCAGAAAGAACAAACCTCCAGGGAGCGTAACATAATATGCACATCCTCGTAGGCAGGTAGCTCTTGTGCCGTCGCGGGTAGCTCGGCCTTGTCAATTAATCCAAATCGATAAATACCTGGCGCTCTGAGGTCCATTGCGTAGAGTCGTAGTTGCCAGCCTAAGGTGTGGTATATATTTTTTTAGTCTTCGCATCAATAGAAAACCTAGATCTTAGCAATTTTAGAACACGTACCGACGACCTGGCAGCCAAATACTACAATCTTCATGTAATATTCTGTAGGAAGGCCGGGATAAGTTTTCATAATTCGATTAATCATGTCCCTCATGCCAACCATGATCTTGAGTTTATCGGTCCAAATCTTTTTGGGGCAACCTGCCGGCAGGCCCCCCGAGACTTCGCAAATAAAACCTTCCAGAGCTGGTCCCACAGGAAAGTCGATAATAAGATCTGTCTTTTGACCAATGCGAGCACGCTCATCGGGATCTTGGCCATCGATGCGTCTTTCTTGACTAGCGAATAACTGTTGTTCCAGCCTGAGAATGGAGGGATCCAATAAGAAGGAAATGTGTAAGGTGAAGAAAGTTTACTTATAAGACAAAAGCTCGTGTTACCAGCGCTTGCGGAATTTTTCTCGAAGTGGGTCCAAGCTGATGTTAAATACGGGTGCCACGAAAAGAACCGTATGCTCACCTTCCGAGATCGGCAGGTTGAGGTGTTCAAGATGCGACCTCATTATTGTCAGTTGAGCATTCAGCAAAGGAGCAGCCTGTTGGTTATTAATATCCTATTTAAAAGAAAAAGAACAGAATGAAGCATGAATATAAAATGATAGTTACAAAACACTGCCGTTACCTTCCCATTGTCAAAAAGGTTCAGATCAGCTTGATTGGGTTCCGCCATCGTCCAATCCACATCCCTCTGAAAATCATCTACGATGTTTTTCCATATCGTCACAAACTTGTCTTTTGTCGCTTTGTGTTGACCAGTCAAGTCGAGAATGCCCCAGTAGGGGGGACTTCCAAAGGGAGATTTTTATTAATAAATCTCCCCCAGAGAACCCTTGCAAGAAAAATGTAATACTTACTGAAGTTCGGGTGTCTTTTTCGGCAACTTTTCACGCACGGAATGAAATTGTTTGATGATATCTACATTACCGATACTGTAAGAGCCCCAAACGACAGCCACTAGTGTCTCAGATCTTGATCTTTGTTGCACAGTTTCCTCCTCTTCAAAGAAATACTCCAGTTCCACTTTATCCGTCAGCTCGTCAAAGTATTCCTTTGAAGTTACAACCTCTTGTTGACGGGTGGGCGATTCTTCTTCTTTATCAAGTATACATAAGGAAGATAGACGATTTAAATAAGCATATAAAAACTAAAAAGCATATAATATCTTCAGCAGAGTTGTTTCCTAGAATACCATCGTTCGCATCATCTTCTGGCTCCTGTTCTTTTCTCTGGACATAATTTATCAAAATATACATTTAATGACGTTTTAGTAAAAATAGCAGAAGCAGCCTGCTTAGAACAAACCTTTTTGCTGCTATGCACAGATTTATTCATTAAAGGCGTTATATTCTGCGCCGGTAACTGCTGGTGACCTTCGCCATTCCTACCAATTAAAAAAGGATTGTCACCGGCCTCGATGGAGAAGTCGATAGCCTGTTGCTAAGTCAGCATAATTGTTAGTGGTATTTCCAAAGAGGCCAAGTAAAATAGGAAGTAACTGGCCCAGTAATTCCGTCTCTTTAACTCGGGTCATGCACAATTTGCCAAAATTTTCACTAGTACCTTATTTCTATTGAGATCGCCCGCCGTAATGAGTTCATGTCTTCTGTTTCCAATTGCAGTAGAATGCACGTTCAGTTCCCGGCTGCGGTCGAGGACATAGTTCAACTAGCAGAAAAGAGTCAGTTGTAGATAATACAACAGTGATATGAGTGACAGTTAAACATTTACATCTTCAGCCTCAATATGCGACAACATCAGTTGCTTCTGGAATTCGACATGCTGGAGGTCACGTTGTAAGTTCAAACTCTTGCGATTACTCCAGAAGGTCCTGACTTCTGCAGAACATTTGCTGGCCTGGAAAAGCTCAACAAGTGAGAAAAAGCATAATGATACAACAATGATTTACACAGATAGAGGTACTATTGACGAACTGCAACGAGCTCAGCGACCCAACACTGGGGCAACTCAGCGATCACACCAGTGTGTTGCAGCAATAGCTCAGCGACCTACCAAGAGCCCCAATCAGCTCAGCGACCGATTGTGCCCACCATACAGATCTCAGCGGATCTCTATTGCAAGGGGGCAGGGCTCTTGGCTCGTCAATAGTACCAAAACGCGTACCTGCCAGTCATTGAGTAGCACCTGCGCCCTTTGTCCACGAGTGTTGTCTTTGTCTTTTTTGCAAATGGTGATAAGGAAATTTTTGAACGCACTATGTTCGGAGTCATGGTCCAAAAATTCAGCGCTTTTGGATCTCCACTGCAGGAAATCGATAAGCGACCATTGTGGGATGTCGGTATTTTGGAAGTAGTCGGGCAATTTAAAAGTATCCTGTAGAATAGATTTGGTTCAGTTTGACGAAGTTTCAGGGAAAAAAAATGATAGACTTACGTCGATATCCTTGTCGATCACAGCCGAGGACATCGCGCGACAAGAAGAATCTAGGACTACCCAATTTCGCGTTTTTTGATAGATCGGCAAGTACACCAAATTTAGGATATATCCGCAGTAAAGTCACGTTTTCACTGATATATGATAATAAAAATACTCATATAACAATAAATCATGTGAAGAGTATGATTTTCGTAATCTTTTACAATTTTATTGAGAGAATTATTATTATTTCACTTTCCATAATATAATTGTTTGTTCAGTTCACGTAACTTCCTCTTCCTTCAATAAAGATGTAATTTGTCACTACAGTATAAAGTAAATGTTTCAACAATTGTCACGGTTAATGAAAAAGCAAAGTCAGCTGATTTACCCTAATAGCCAAAAATACATGTTTCAGAGCGTGCGTGTTTATAATAAATATTGAATAGCAAACTCTTGCCCAGTCATTCGATAGGCCTTGCTTGGGGTTGGCGGAAAATCATACAAACAGCAATCTCGAATTCAATACCAATCAAATTATGCTGCAGAAGTAAATTCGAACAGACCTTGCTGAGGTGTTGGAAAGAAAAAAGAATAAGAAGTGGCCAATGCAAAAAGCCAAGAAGCTAGGACATAAAATTTATGCGTTATTTGCGAATTTTGTGAACTGGTTATCAGACTTTCCGGTAGGTCTAGAAGATAGAATAAGATACAGTCCTCATGTTACACTATTACGCGTTATGATCAACTAGTAGATATTGCATGAATATGCGGCCCGGGACATTGCCAATTTAAGTTTATTAACAAACAATCTTACGATGCGTTGTAATCGTATAACTCCTAGTGGTCCAAAAAAGTCCAACGAATCATTATCCCTTCCATACAACTTGATTATTGTTTCTATTTTGCAATGGCCTCGCCAAAGCGTCATTTTTATGAAATACTTTGCCAGAACTCGTTACTGTTTACTGGTTGGTTCAAAACAGCGAATGCATGAACGTAATTTATTGCCAATGAACACTACATACATAGATGCAAACGATATTAATGGAATCGAGGGAAATCGAAAGTGTAATGTCAAGAATGAATAGGGAATAAGAGCTGTAAGGAATGAAGGGGGTATTGTCCTTTACATTTGTTTTACACCACAAAACCTGCGGGACACACCAGTAGTAAAGTACAAGAATTTTTTGATACAAACCGACGGTTGTAATATACAATCGATTCACTTCAAATCAATAATGCAACTGTAACCATGACGACAACCCAAAGTCTATTGTATACCCTCGCGCTGTTATCAACACCGCTATTACTATGTTCACTAACAGTTGAGTTTCCATAAGGATTCCATCCATCTCCAGATCCATCATACCCATCGAATCCACTATTGTCATCGTCCCCAGCTTTAGACGTGCCATTAAGGCCTGGCAATGCCTGTGGATTCCACACTGTCCAAAATTCACTTGGTCCAGTTGTTATGCCAATAAGTTTGTTTAAAAGGGCTGTGTAACGTCCATCAGGATCTCCATAATGATCACGAGCTGCGTACAAGGGCGTGGTAAGCGTATCCGGTGGCTCTTTTGCTTTTTTTCCGTTCTTCAGATCGGCTAGAAAACCTTCTGTGATTGGAACCAAGAAATCGATAGCTGTTTTTATCGTTGCGCCTTGGTCGGTTTTCGCTTCCCACACGTTAGTGCCATTAAGCTTGTCCGATAGACGGGCGATGTATACTAGCGCAACCAAGTTAAAGCATTGGTAGTGGAATGGCTTTGTACGCACTGCTTCTAGAGGTTGTTCTCCGTCTTTGTTTATTTGACCTTTGTATATACCGTTGACATAGCTGCTAATCAATTTACGAGCCTCATCGTCTCTGTCTGCAAAATGTAAATAGGTAGCTGTTTGTGCTATATGGAACGAACCGTGGTTGTTGGCAGCAGCCTCTTCTTCTTTGCCAAGGTCTGAGGTGAGCAACCAAGTTGAGTAATCACTAAACCATGCTTTAAGGCCTTTTGTTAAGCTGGTGCCCACACTCGACTTTTCGAGCAGCGCGACGACTGGAGGAACGTATACGAACGATCTTAGATCCAGTATACCTTCTGGTCTACCCTCATTGCGACCTTTACCGCGTATGACTTGTCCAAAGAACAATTCCGGTTTCATGAATGTTTTGTTGTTCAAGAACCAAGTATCCAAAAGGTGTGCAGTCTTCTTGGCGAGATTATCATCACCAGATAACGCATATGCAAGTGCCATTGTGGTCACATCTGTAGTCATGCTACTAGCATCCTGTGGGTCAGATATTTTTCCAATGTCAGGGACGTATTGTCCGTCTTTTTGTTCATACGGACAGTCTGTCTGTTCGTCCTGCACATTTTTAATACCTTTACAGTTTGGCCACCAGTAGGGAGCCCATGAGTAGAATTCGTGTAGATCTTTGTTGGGAGGAATGACGGAGGAATTGATGACTGAGTATGGATTAGGATTAGCGAGAGCTTGTTTGGCTTTTCTACGTATTGCTTCAACTGCTGAACTTGCTACTCCGGGATTGTCTAAATATTTGGCTTTGAATGTGTTCAAACCATCAATATCGAGAAGATCCATTTGGAGGCCAGCTGTTATGATCAAAATGCGATATCAATACTAGATTCGTAATAAAAGTCACTTTTGCATATATATATAGTCGACTAGATCTGATGGGTTTGTCCATCTCGCAACTCTTACCTTCAGCAACTGAAATCCATATTGTCAGTAGAGCTGCCAGCAGCGTTGGTATCTTCATATTCTATGTACGTATGTAATGAATGTCTAGTAGGAGAGTGATTTTGTAAACTGCTATGTAAAGGACAATCGATTAATTATTCTTCGCTATGACGGTGAATGTTTGTCAGCGAAGAAATTGCCCCTCCTGTCAAAGGTAGGCAGTTCTACCAAGAGAATGAAGAAAGTGGTTCGGTGTGTGGTGCTGGGAGTGGCATTGGAGACAGATAAAATAGTATTTAAAACAAGGGCAATTGTGCGAGACGTCCAATTAGATTCTACTGTCCAATTGCATACAACAATTGTGGCATTGACGAAATCTTTTTAACCCTGAATTGGCGATCAAGTGTTTGTTTGCTCAATGTGGATAAATTCTGTTTATGAATAACGGCATGATAAATATAGATTAAAAGAAGTGCTGGGCATGTGCAATACAAACATAATGCAGGAAAATATTAATAGATCCGATATTTTTGTTTCGAAAATACAAAAGGGGGTTTATACTATAAAAAGTTGTTTCATATTTAATATAAAGTCCAAAAAAGGTTTATACTATAAAAAGTTGTTTCGTAAACGAAAGATAAGAAAGAATTTACGAGTCCAAGTCCAAAATTTTGATACGTATGCTAAAGTATTAGAGCTTGCAAGCGTTAAGAAAAGGAAGTAATAAGGTCTGCAAAGGTTGTGGTTTCTTTAATATTAATGCATAAAACTTTGGTTACTTCGGCTTTAACTTTGTTACATCGCAGTAATTGCAGGGGCCAAAGAAACCACATTGATTCGCAAATGTGTATACTCCTGGTTTGGATTTTTTGCGTGTTACCCACTTAAACAATCATCGAGCACAAGATATAACTAGTTGCATTCGACCTATAAATAACTTTGGCAGAATTATGGGCCTTGTCTATGTTCTAGCTTTCCACTATTCCCATCGATACCACATCAATTGTTAAAGTCTATAGTTTGTACAAACGATCAACGTTATGCTGAGCTACTAGTTTACATAGCGTCTTGTATTTTTCAAGACGGCGAAGCCAAGAATGAAATAAAGAGAATCCAATTGATTTTAAAATGCGGTTAATCTGTAATTCTAGGATAATCAAATGTAATCGTTTTATTTGTCTTACCTATGATTAGAATTTTTTCGCTTTGCCTCCTCCGTATTATGGACATTTAAAGATCGTATTCGGAAGTTATTACGTGACAACCTCTTTTTCGAAACATCTATCTTGGCGTTTTTCTCGATACTTTGAGCTTATACCTTACTTGAAATAAACTGTAATGTTGCAGGTAAAAGTCATATTACATATAATATTACATTGATTGAACAGGCATTGAATGTTCTATTAGACATCTTCACTGTTAATCCTGGCTAATAAATCCTTTATTCACCTTGCGCAAATAATACATTCAAACTAATCAATATCAACAATCAATCGATCGAGTAAATTCCGCAAAGTGATAGCAAGGTATGTTGGTTTTATTGTTCAGCTACAACAGCTTCTAGATTTGCATCCGTTAGCAAACGCCACAGCGTAATCGCGTTGATTGGTTAAATTCTTGCGGCGCTTCTACTTTGTAACGATTACCGCTCGGAAAAACAACCACTAGCCCTTCCTCCATTGACTTTCTCCTCAACTCCAAAGGAAATAACGAACTACAGGCGACGCCGATATATTCTTTTCCAAATAATTGCTTGAATTCCGCACTATCAGTAGCTTCGAGCTTGTTTGGGAATTCATTTACTCGATTGACAAGGCTTTCTATGTGTCCCTGAATGCAAAATTTATAAGTGAGCCAGGTTATCAATAAATTTCATAATAGATAATAGTTCTTTTATTTTATACATACTTTCGTCATTTTGTGTTTTGATTCGAGTAAGAACACCTTATTGTCGCAAACAATAATCCCGTCCCACTCCATTATCGGATTATTGTTCTTATACATTGTTCGAATAGGAAATATTTCTACAGGTAACTTAAACCTTTCGTTGACAAAGTTTTTTACTGCTAGTAACGTTTCATCCTCTATTGCCTTATCTTCGACTTTCGACCAGGTAACTTCCTTTTTGATTGCTGTTAGATAGGGAGCATTTATTTGATAGGTTTCGCCTGGTATTATATAGTTTAAAGAGGTAACAACCATTGGTGTCTCATTGTCGTCAGATATAAGTTGTAGTCCTTTTGCATCGACTCTTTTCAAAAAGATTAAATATTCGTTATCTTTAAGCATCGTATATTTTTCAAATTTCCCCAACAATGGTTCACCCTCATTGTTGTAAGATTGAACGAGGAAAGTCTTCGGCTTATCTTCTAAATTGACGACAGTGTAAGTTTGGAATATACAGTGCAGACGTGACAATTATCAAAAAGATTATGCGCACCACGCTCGTGTTGACCAACACAAAGGCTACCGGTGATAGAAACTTGAAGGGGTGTCTTAGCAGTATTTCCAAAGCTTTCATCCACAATCGCGTCTGGTTCTAAGTCAACAGTACCTTCGTGTTTTCGAAGAATAATATTATCATTATCCAATATCCTCAACTTTGTTAGTTTATGCTTGACCACATCCTTCAATTTATCCACATTTCCTGTCTCAAATTCGAGACTAACTGGCTGATTATTACTATATCTAACCCAGAGTGTAAAGGACATTTTAACTTTGAGACTTGTAAGGTAAAGCGAAAAGAAAAAGATTTTTACAGGACGAGAACAAGAAACTCGTTTGATAAACTTTGCGGAGGTTCGTATTATATTATAATTTCTGCGTAGTACACAATCGGGTACATTCCGAAAATAAGCATCCCCTTTAAATTAAACGAATCTTATGATATCAATCTTCTTTATTATCGATAAATTACCCCCCCCATCAGACAATCGAGGTTGCTAAAATTAGCAATCACTGTAAGCGTAGAGTAGAGCAACCGCATAAATTTCTCTAATGCCGATTTTCTTTCTCTAATCTATTTGATATTTGCGACAATTCAACCGGTTGATCATCATAATCATTATTATTATTCTCTAATATTCCAATAAGTATTATCGAAACAATTCGGGAGTAAGTCGGTGCTTTTGCGCTACAAACGCGGGACACGAACAGATCCATATATCCGTTAATTCGAAAAAGACAAAAAAAAAAAATACAAACTTGCTAAATGGCATATATTAATAATTCTTAATATTATTTATATCCCGTTCTATGTTGTGAGCCACTCTAATCTATGAATGTCAAAAATATGTATACTGTACATCAATGTCTCACTAATGATAAATGGGTTCTTGATGTTGTAGACGCCACAAGTAGATTCAAATATTATCAGTTCGGAAGTTGCAAGAAAATCTATGATGCTACCCGCCACGTTTGAGTGAGACTATGACGTGATTTTTTGAGCTTATGAACTGTGACCCCTGTAATAATTAGGTAATAAAAATCACATGTATTTTCAGATTTTCAGTGAAAAAAATTGGCAAAGCCTGTTGGATATCATTGAAGCACTATGGTTCTCGGCACTAAGCTAGTTGCAGCGTCAGCTAATCGTACTGTAGTCAATGCTCCTTATGCACCTGCTACAGTTAGAAGGCTGTTTGAGACGGCCAACCATTTTAACCCACGCAATCACAAGGTTACAGCGATCCCTGCGTGGATTGCTGGTTCAAAAAAGCGTTTGGATGGATCTGTACAATCCAAAACATTTGTAAATGGTATGCTGTCTTTGCTGTCTTTGCTGACAGATATTTTCGCACAGAATAGGCCTGCTGTTATAAACTTGATATAATGAATTCATTGATTATTCTATTCTGTCAATATTCGCATTTGCGCTTGATAGCTCTCCTTCTATAGCATAGTCAGACACGATGCGAATTTTAATTCCCAATTGAACAGTGCTAAGTGACTTTTTTACAGTTGCTCCTTTAGGTGCTATCAATCAGCAACGACATTCATCGTCTTCTGCTATCGGTGGGTCACACTCTACAATAGTTCCCGATTTCTCCAAATACAGACGACCCAACACTGGAGAAGATGCACACCGCGCTTTTACCTATGCGTTGATCGGTGCAACCGGAGTTCTAACTGCGGCTGGAACTAAGTCCACTGTAGCGGATGTTCTCTCTAGTCTGGCTGCATCGGCTGATACATTAGCTATGGCTAAGGTTGAGGTTAATTTGAACAAGATTCCGGAAGGGAGGAATGTTACAATTAAATGGCGTGGTAAGCCTGTGTTTATAAGACACAGAACACCAGATGAGATTGCTGCAGCCGATGCAGTAAGTTTGACAGAGTTGAAAGATCCACAGCCCGATTCAGAAAGGGTGAAGAAACCTGAGTGGCTTGTTATGATCGGAGTGTGCACTCATTTGGGTAAGTTTAATACGAGCATAAAGAAAGCAGATGGAGATACCGTTTACATAAGACACGTACACGATGGTAGAGACCGAGCTTTCTTCATATATAGCTAATGCTATTATTAATCTTTACTTGTGTAGGCTGTGTACCAGTTGGTGAATCTGGCGATTATGGTGGTTGGTATTGTCCGTGTCACGGATCTCACTATGATGTATCAGGTCGTGTTAGGAAAGGTCCAGCACCGTTAAACCTCGAAATTCCAGAGTATTCGTTTGAAGAAGAAGATAAACTTATCATTGGATAATTCAAACAAAACATTATTTAACTATAATAGAATGAAATGAAGCTTTACCGCTATACAGACAATAATTCGATTATATTTCGAAGACTGATTATATGATCGTGTGTTGTTTGAGGAGTGTTGCAATGACATCCAGTAATTTTTGATAATTATGACGATGGAAGTTTGATAAACTTTGTAACCATGTGAGACTCATTGTAGAAAATATCGTCTCTGTAATATCTAGTTAAGAATTATTAATACACAAATCTTTCATCAGCCGAAGTTTGGATGTGATGGAACATATTGAATAATCAATCCATTGCGAATGTTTTCTAACATAATGTGAATTCGACCTTGTAGTTGCAGTCTGCCCCATTATTATTTTAGAACGCGTGGGTCACGTGCAAATAATTCACGAGCTATAAATTTGGCAGCCATTCACGCTACACCCTATCCCATAATTTCATTCGTAAACACGATGGTGTCTCAAGCAATTCAACTTTTAGTTGATAAAAACAAGGCTAGCAGCTTATTCAAAGAGACATTCACAGGTGGCTTTTCACTTTTCTACACAATCACCTTGATTGTGGTGACAATCCCATATTTAATTTTTTTTTACATTTCAAAGGTCCCACTTCTCTTTATCTTTGCTTGGCACAAAGACCAGTAAGTTAAAAAACATCTGTTTCATAGCTGTTGCACAGCCATTTGATGGTAATGATAGCAAAACAACTATTCATTTATAAAAGCAAAGATTTCTGAAAAGAAACATATCATATATACAACGAGCACGGAAGAGCATAAAGAACATAAAACATAAACGAGAAAAGATAATTCTAGAGGAAATATGTCAAAGACGAGCAATAGAGGAGAGCACATATGAACTAAGGTTCGTTAATTCTACAATGCATGGTTATTTTTTATCAACCATTCAACTTGTAAGCATTTACCTTTATCACATGCAGTCGTTGTAAGCGTTCGCTTTGCCTCAATATAGAACGATTAAATCCACCCGGTTGGTTTGGTATGGGTCCTCCTTGTTCTCTTGATTGATCAAAGTGAGGCAATTGTTTAAACATACTCCATAACATGACACGTTTTATATGTTAGGGGAAGAATGGACAAGACACGAGACGCAATTGAAACTTATTTGTGAAGTCTTACTATATCGCGTAACGAAGGTACTAAAAATTTTATCTTCTCATGCTTATCACTATTAATCTAACGTCTTCATAAATTTCATCATATCTACCAAAGGAGGAACGTGAGAGACTAACTCCGCGTAAAAGACGATTTCGAAATATTAGTGATATGTGTGATTATCAGCTAGTACATAGACACCGCGTGAATTTGGCCTACGTTAAAGGCCGTGAGCGTATATTGTTGGTCTTTCCGGAGAATAATTTTGATCCCGTTGGCGACAATATTGAAGATTTTATCCTTAGCATTTGTGTATATTCAGAAAACTATAAGACATGGCCTCCGATGGCGAGCAGGGCAATTGATGTCGATGTAGGACGTAGCAAGCAGTATAATATAGTGCGCGAGATGTTGAATGGAATGGATCGCAACAGGGTGTTATGGGCTCAGATGAGTTTACTGGACGATGGAGAATGGATCAACGATGGGGAGTATGAATTGAACATGATGATGACGGAAGGCCAACATATAACCATCCCTTCGTTATGGAGTATGGACATTTCGTTGGAATGGGATTTCAAATGCCATTTCAGCCTTCGACCTCTCGAGGAGAATTTACCGTTAACTTATTGGTATGATGTTAATGGTCCGGAATTCACTGTTACATATACCTACCGCGTTGCTGATTGCGAGCTAAGTGCAACATACAGAGGGTATAATTGTCCATGGTGTACTGGATATGACTTTTATAACGTAATCTGTCTGTTATCTCATCTCCGTAATGCGCACGTACATCTGAAATTTACTTGCAAGGTGAGATACATGCCATTATCGTCACAAGGCTGTATCATGACGACTAACATTAGCTTTTCTGTGTCCTAGATACCAAAACAACCACTTCCTACGGATATAACTTGTCTGGTTACTTATAATGAAGACAATTGTGAATCCGATTATTTCCTTGTGGATGATAAAGATCGATTACTTGTTCCCAAGCCATTTGAATATCCGTTAATACAATATAGTGCGCCGCGAGTCGAACTGCCTCTGAACAACTGTTATCATTCACGTTCGTTTATACCTTTCAAGGAAGACGAGGGTGGCTACAATTCGGAAGATGATGTGTGTACTCATTGGTTGGATCAATGGTTTGATGAGGTATGTATAACAAGGATTACGTAGAATATAGCAAACAGGTAAACTCGCGTTGAATTTAACAACCAATATTGCATTTTATCTTCATTACATTAACTAGGGATTGAACGAAAAAGACATCACGGACGAGGAAAAATACATGATAAGGCTATGGAATAGATATCTATCGCAATTGGAGTACGTGGCTACTGTAATAATGAATTTATCAATAATAACATATTGCGCTTGTATAGTCGCAACTACGATTAACCGAGCGTCGATTTACCGTTTACTGAACGACGTATTAATCTGTCATATTACAGAACCAATGGCGATTGTCATTTGTCGGGCCTATGCATCCAATTTGCGAAAACACGAGCCCGAGACATTTCTGCATATAATTTAAGAATGACTTTTGCGAGGCACCTGCTTCAGATGGCAGGGGCCCAAGTAATCGATGGGAACTGCGTCGCACATTGCCTTCGGTTAGTTGATAATATAACTGATGGATCAGGAGTATAGAGATGGTGCCAAGCCTAACAGTGAGGCATCTGGATCGCAAATGCGAAAGTTGGCAAAGGACATTGTGTTGATAGTTGAATGTAAATAGATTAAGCCAGTTGTCGGCTAGTTGGTTTATTAATTTTTGGATTTGGAGTAAAAACAGGTTTCTTCAATCCTTGAATTGTTGTAAAACGCTCTACAAATGCAAAATTTTTAATAACAGGTGAAAACTGCCCACCCCAATGGCAATTTCATGCGAGTACCTCGGCGACATTGTCAACGTGCACTTTTCGTATTATCTTCTCTTTACTGTTTTGTGCCTCAATGTTGGCTTCTAAAGCGAAACGTTGGAGGAATAGAACAAAGTCTAGGAACAGCTATGCAAATACCGACACGGCATATCAGGTGAGATAATTCAACCTTGGTAAACCACGCGTTTGAGGAAAGAATACGTGTGCATTATATTACCACCACATCAAAATTCTTCGATAAATTCGTGTTCGGTTGGTGGGCTTTCTCAATTTTTTTAAGCGTCGCGCGGGGGTAGAGGCGAGCCATGTTTTGCTTTAGATTTGTTAAAGTGAATAATAATAATAATAAAACTGAGCTTTGGATAATAATAATAAACAATAACAAAAAAGGCAGGTGACTGTTACATGATCAGCAATACGCGTGTCACACATCGGCTTTCCAATTTGCAGACGTATAAAGTGAATATATTTTCCAAATGTCTCAAACTAATTCTTCAGTCACGGGAAAGTAACTTTGACCTTCGTGAACAACAATAGATACTAAATGCGACTAGTTATGACAGAAAGGGTAACCATTGAGTTCGTATTTATGTTTAAGGAACGAAAAAGAGCAATACTTATAATCTACTAAAACGCCTTGACTTTGTAAACCAAAAATCTACCCCAAGGAAATAGTATTGGTGTCTTTACCAAAGGCATTTACAGTAATACATTATGGATGTGAGCAGTGGCGCGCGCCGAATGAGGAAACCAAAAACTACAAGCCGTTTAAATTTGGGGTCTTTCTCCACATATGACTTTTTGAGCAAATTATTCAGGCAGTACGCATAATAATAAATACACATTTACTACATGCTAATGACAGAATACGATAATTGAGTTACATTTGCGTTGAACATGTTAATATTAAACCGTTATAAATTAAGCATAAAAATTATACGTATGCATATTCACGTAAACAAAATTGGCGCGCAAAATATGAGACTATGCGATAAGACTAAGATCCTCGGTATGGTAATTTTTGCAATCAATAAATGGCCTGCAACTATTCTCACACATGGCTATGAACTTTATATGACTATTCATAATTTCGTGGGGGAAAAGGCTGCTAATTTACTTTCAAATATTTTGTGAAAATTTAATTTGTCAGAATAACTAACGCGGTTAGTTTGTTGGTTTGGGTAATTTTATTCGCAATTATTAAAATTTAATACCTTCGCAATGTCTGTTAGATTGGATAAGACTATTACTGTGATTAAATGAGTCAAACCTTGCACGCTATGTGCCCAAATGTAAGTTTATTACGCGTCGTATTTTTCGGTTAATGTCTTATAAGAAAGTGTTACAAGTACACTTTCCGCATAGAACACCGTAATCTCAATGTGCCTTGGTCAAAGTTTTTATTACTACACTTATATGATTGAACACTGCGTTTAGCGTGTTTAATGCTACATGACGATGTTTTGATATTGCCGTATATTATGTACAGCATTAATCCACTTACTGGTTTATTTAAGCTCTGATAACCTGGAAAGTTTATCTATATGAGGGTTATTATTATGGGAAAAGACCAAGATCGTGACTATATGCTCATATTACTAAACTTCGCGCTCATGTCCCTTGGCTTGGGAAGCTAAACAATATCCACATTAGCCTGAGAAAGCCCCAACCCAATTTATTCAATTGTCATCATGTTCGTGTAACAGCATGTAACATATCTCCCGTCGCTACTTCCATCATTTTTTGAAGTATTTACACTCACTGCTCTTGTTATTGCTTGTCTTAAAAACCCCGTCCAGTAAGTCACACACAATGGCAGGACATAGATTTCCCAACGGAATGCCTGTTCCGAGCAGAGCACACGTTTTCTTGGCGAAGTTACTTGGAGGATCTATGACCTTTTGTAAGTGGCAATGAAGAGTTTGAAGGCCGAAAGGTTGACGAGTATACAATCGTATATGATAGTGAGTGTACTTGCGCTAATCGAGCATTCGATCTTAGGGATACTCTATCGCGGAAGGCAGGATATGCCAGTTGTTCTGGTAAGTTCGAATTTTCGGTTATACATTGTCAAGGAGTATTTTACCGCTAGTTCTCATCCAAAAGTCAATATTCCATTAATTATCACAGCACTTGAGACATCCTTGGGATGGACATCATGACAGTGACAATAGTCATCATTGACCACGAGTCGACTTCTCATAAAATGTAAAATACGGGTTCAAACGATAATCTTATTGTCGTGACATAAAGTTGGTTTTATTGTCTTGAATTAAGTATACAAATACTTGAGTAATTTATGCATTCGAGTTAGACTAGTCACTAGAAGAATATGTCGAGTCCCAACTGTAAAAAAGTGACTTGTCTATAACAAATATTACGTATCTCAAACTGCTAAGCTCTCAATAGTTCACCCGTATCCATAGTCCTCTCCCACTCACTAATGGAACTAAAGATTCATACTCAGCATGCAACTTTGAGCTCTACATCATGGCCTTATGCCCTAGTTAGTTATTTTCTCAAAAACAAATCTTTCTTATGCTCAATATTTAAGAATTTCAATGTGTTTATCCCCAACAACTTCTCCTTATCCTCTTCACTCAGCCAATCACACTGATCGATTAGTTTACCTGGACAATGCTCACCAAGAGGAAACGGATAATCACTTCCGAGCATAATACGATCAATGCCCATCTTCTTGACTAGAAATTGGAGAGTGTCCTCATCATGCACCAAAGAGTCGACGAAGATTCGGTTGATGTATTCTCTACAATAGCAATAAATGTGATTTGTTACTATCGTATATGTACTTCTAATCAACAAACGACGACGTAATAAAATATTCATCATACATACAAGGGATTTTTTTTTATCTTGACTGCACACAAGTCAGGCCTGACATTGAACCCGTGGATGATACGCCCAAGCGTAGCCGGAAATGATCCTCCACCATGGGCAAAAGCGACTTTCAATTGAGGATGGCGTTCGAGCACGCCACCGAATATCAGGGAACAGATGGCTATTGTTGTTTCACATGGCTATTGAAAAAAAAAACCACATAAATGGAAGGGGACGCGATAACAAAGGAAATAGAACAATGGGATAGAATAACAGAGGTGATGGGTTACCATTCCGACTAGCCTGGGTCATAGGTGTGGTTTATAATAGAGATGAGAACGGTTAGAATACGATGATTTAACTTACGTATGACAATAGAAAAAAAATGGATATACTGAGATACGTAATAATGTATAATAATATTACCATGGAAACCAATATTTTTCCATTCTTCCTTTGTTTTCCATATCCTAGTTTCAAATAGTATGAACAGAACCGGTTATTGCTCTTGTTTTCTTAGCACAAAAGAAAACAGATGCCCTCTTGTGTATTAGCATGTGTCTTACCCATGGATGCACAAAGACCGCAGCATTGAGTTCTTCGCATGCCTTTTTTGATAGATGAAATACCAATTATGTTACATTTTTTTCTCATTTGAACCCGTTCTTCTTCTTTCTTCTTCTTTTCCTTCTCATGCATCTGTATCATCATCCCACATCTCCATTCCAATTACCTCCCAGATAGGTTCCAGTTCTGGAGCATCCAAATTCCAATCATTAATATGGCTTCCTATCTGTATTCCCACCAATCCTAAATCAATAATACATCTTCTCAATTCCTCTACTGCCAATTCAGGGGCTTGCATAGGTAATGTGCCTAATCCAACGAACCGTTTAGGGTCCTCGGCACATACTTGTGCAATGTGATCGTTAAGATATCGAGCAAGATCGAGGGTATGCTGAGGCTTGGCTGAGTAGGAAAACATTACAGGAACCGTCGAGAGAACCTTTGAAAAAAAAAGCAAGGATGAGATCAGAAAAAAGCTTGCGAGTATAAAGAGTTTGATTGATTGAGAGCACTCTATGAGGACAAGGGCGTAACTAGCTACAAAGATCGTGTTTAGCGTTACGGACAGTTTTAGGAAATTTATAACTGTATTAGCTACCTGTACATCAACTCCGGCAGTGTCACACTCTCGTACTCTTTCGTCTGCTGACCAACAGTTGCAACCTATCTCTCTAAAGTTTTTCCCGTCGAGAAGCATTCGTGCTTTTCCCTGGATTAACATAGCAGAATGTATAAAAGATGCCGAGGATACAATTGCACGCATAATATTGTGATCTTTCTTGCATTGTAATGTTACTGACTTGTTCATAGTGATCTAGTTGTATCCATCCACCGTACCCGTATTTTCTTTTCAAATCAGGCCAATGTTTCGGCAGAATATGGCTAAAGTCCAAAAATAAGGATTACATGTTTATCACGATACGAAAGATAGGGTTGACAAAGAATGCATACGTGTGGATGTCTATTTTGAGGCGACGTCTAGTGTTAACTTGATGGATATCTGGAGCGCTCATTTAGATGGTGCGATCTCGTTCTCCTGAATACGTAGTGGTAGTGGGTAAGTGGTTAGTATTAGTATGGCGGTGTATGTAGTATGTTATGGTTAAGGAGTCGCTGGCATCAGGTGACCGGAAGGGGTTAAGTTTATTGTGGTACAAAGTTTGGACGTTCGGAGTTTGTTGATAATAGCAATAATAATAACAATAATAGTATGTCTTAGTATTAGTTAATAATTAAGGAGAGGCTTTGTTGAATAATATGCGCGGGCACGACCAGATATGCGATTTGGATAAGAATGCATGACGTCAGACAACTACTTCGAACGTGTGGCTATGCAATGGAAGATGATATTCAACTAGACATTATTTGGGCATTCCATGTTATCATCCTATGATCAATTCATTGTTATTTTAACTACTATTTTATATCACTATTTATCCGTTCTGTGCGCATGCGCCAATGTTGATCTCATGTACAGATTATGTTGGACACAGTCGGGGCCCTCTGGTTTATATTTTCTATGTATGATTATGGTTTCAAAGGAGGATTGATATTCCAAATGCAAAAGCAAACTAATGGCGTACTTTAAGTGAAAAAGGCAGAGTGAGAGTAGTAGCAATGGCAATAACAAAACAAGAACAAGAACAAGAACAAGAACAAGAACAACAGCAATAGCAATGAGCGACGACGGCAGCATAGTAATTTTAGGTACTGCAGTAATAGTAATAATGTATAGTAATAAAAGTAGTATATAAAATGATAGCAATATAGTAGCGAGTATAGTAATAAAAGTAGTATATAAAAAGACAGTGCTGCGAGTAACAAGTGACTGACAAGTGACAGTAACAGTGACAACAACAGGGTGAGAGATTACATAATATAATATCAAGATAACATTATTATTATAACGAAACAAAACCTAGCGTAATCGATATAAAATATATCTGAGCCCGAATGTTTCAGTGGTATGCCGGTAGATGTTACACACTTGTCTCATTATGCCTACCGCTATACATTAATAGTTGTTTGTATTACACACATTTATACGTTTATACTCCATATGAATTTCATATGCTAATCGCATATCCCCAGTCCAGATCGTCAAATCATTGATTTTCACCCTCATTGTTCCGTCACCATATAACACACACTTTTCTTCAGACTGTCTGTATATAAATTATCTAAGCCAAACTCCTTATTGGCCAAACATCCACTTTCTCTTCTTCCCACTAGCTTTGGGGGGTGACTACTCGACACTGTCCGTAACACCCCCAAAGAACTATTAAAGACGTATACCACTCGATACATCACGCAAAAATATACCTCTACGCGCACACCAACAACCACGTACATACATACATACACACATACATACACGCGCATAACATACAACAATATATAATACTCTTATCATTATTATCTCATATAATAATCCGATACTATCAGATATCCATTTAATTCTGAAGCCACCCACTCTCCTTTTCCATAACTTTATTACGTTTCTCTAACTTCCTGTGGAGGCAAACCCCCACCAGTATATAAATTCTAGTCAAGATGATGAGCATGGTCTCGCCCACGACACCACATACTCCAAGGAGCAGACTTACGCTAGACTTGAGCGAATTACCTGTCTCCACTTCTAATAACTCAAGTCCTCCAGTCTCCCCTAGTAGTTATAGCACTTACAGTGCTCTACCCTCTCCCACACTATCTGGCTCTTGGTCTCAAACTAGGTCTCAAGCTGAGTTGACGGCACTACTCAAGGATGCTTATATCCGTATTAGAGAAAAAGAAAGAGGTACGAGGTGGTTTGGGAATTGGAAGAGAGGCTAGAGAAGTGACCCTACGAGTACGGGCGGTTGGAAGGAAACGAGTTTGTAAAGTAATTGAAACGAACTAAGAAATTAAGAAAAACTGGCTGAATTGAACAAATTAGCCGCAGCATTAGGCGTACATTAGATGCATTAACACACAAGACACATTAGTTACGTAAGACGCAAAAAGGTTTTCGCAAAAAGACAGGATAAAAAAAAAGGCGTTACTTGAACAAATGCGATGCGATGCGATGCGACAATGAAGTATAGACTTGGTCACAAGAACGAATGGTTATATAATATTCCGTACATATATAATATGTAATATAAGTAGTGAGCGAGTGAGTGAGATAGTGAGAGACTTACTAAACTTACGCAGCACGTGGATGTAAAAAAAAAGTAGATCTATCCATTTGTTACGTAACAATTACCCGCTTGCCCGCTTAGTAGTTACGTGCTGGGTTCATCATATGACAACAATACAATTTCTAATACATATTCATCTTCTTTTACTTTAAATAACAGACCTCACTCTCGCTGCAGAAATTGGCAAAAGTCTCCTCGACAATAACAATGACCTTAAAGCAAAATATGAAGCACTCATGGACCAATTTGAAGAGTTCCAAAAACAACGACAACAAAATTCAAAATTCACTATACAGGCAGCAGACAAAACAAATGTCACCAGGCTGGCCCCGCCAAATGGTTCACTCGAAACATTCGAAGAAGAACCAAGTGATTACGAGGACGACGAGAGCGATAACGAATCCGCTGCTGGTTTCGGCGCATCTCTTCATCCTATCGCACGTTCTCGCTCTCCTAGTCGAGTGCCAATGTATAAGGATTACGAAGATTACAGAGAATTGGAAATGAAGAACGCCGAGTTGCAGGCTAAAGTAGATAGTCTTATTTCCGAGGTGCAAGAAAGCGACAGATTACACAAAGCCAAGCAACGAAAGCTTGAAGCCGAGTTGACGGCATTACAAGACACTTATCAATCCGCTACTCAAAAGATCGAGGATCTTCAGAAAGAAAACGAGCGTCTTCTGCAAAGGCTGCGAAATAGTTTTTGGGAGTCGCGTAAAGAAAAGAATTCGGAGAACGAGAATGTGATTGAAGAGTTGGCACAAAAAATCCAGGAATTGGACATACAAAATGCAGGCATTGAACGAGCAAAAGCAGAAATCGAACGCCGTTTACAACGTACACTACAAGATCTCGAGGCATTCCGTTCACAATGTAATACACTTGAAGACAAGACCAGAGACTTTTCCAATCTCCAGTTAGCATATCACAAACAGACAGAGCTTGTCAATCAATTGAGTGTATCACTAGAAGAACAGCGGATGATAAATATGGGATTACGAAGGTCTCGAGCTGGATCGTTTAGCGACAGTGGGTTTATGCACCGATTGAGTGATGCTGCTGACAATTCTGCATTGGCCAGACCCCTGACATCAAAGCGCAGTCTACTCGAGGAGTTTGAGAGCGAATGGATATCTAATATTAAACGAGATATGAACTGGGGGGATGAATCTCCTCAATTCTCGCCAGTAGCATCTGAAGGCGATCTTCGAGAGTTTTTATTGAAGAATGGAGTACAGCCAGATTTTGATGACGATGTCTCTGCCATTGATTATATGTCCGAAGATGAGTTTACCTTTTTGGAGGAATTCGACGAAGATGACGAGATAGCAATGAGGAGGAGAGAATGGTTCTGGAAGCGATGGATAAGAGCAGTGTATAGATTCTTTAGGTGGATCTGGAGATGGATTGAATTCCTTTTCTTATTGGGAGCTGCCGTGGTCTTGGCACTGTATCGTGGACCCGACCATTTATTACCTGGCGACCTATAAAGATATGACCTGACCTATAAAGATGTGATAATTTTATCGAGTGGCTGATATGTGTTCTGTACATATCATTATCAGATCCTACGATTTTCATTCTTTTTATTCAATTATATATCTTCAACAATTTAGACTTTTTAAATCCAAGCTTTGTAATTCCTATCGTTTTATATATTAAAATGGTTATTTATCGTTTGAGTGTATTGACTTGTATAAATTTGACGAATAAACCTTTATCCGTGTATTATATCGTTATTGATTCCATGTCGATTGATAGATAGAAAGGTGTTTAGTGATATGAACTGTTCCCACCTTCCCCCCTATTTCCACCGTACAAGTTTTCAACAAGCTCGTATCCTCTTCGAACAAGATGAATAAGATAATCTCATGACAAAGCGTGGGAATGGTCATGCAAATACGCCCCTTGCCAAAGTTTGAATGCTGAATGCCGATCATCCGACATCTGACTAGCACGTTCCTGCGACCTTTTTTTTCCTACATGCCATGATTCATGATTAACCGATTGCGGACAAGTGGGAAATAGTCGAGTATCGAAAGGAATGGCTAACAAGAACAATATAATATAATGCAGATAGTGTACACTGCACTGCATAGTTGTGGTTTTAATAGTAGTTACTAATTGAGGAAAAGAAGAGCGGTTATCATTCCGTCATTCAACTCCAACGCCCATGCTTTATCCTAAACATTCAAAACAGCGGAATTGCTTGTAAACGCTGGAAAGAAACGTCGAGTACGTAAGTAATATGACCAAGTTAGTGACTTGCGTCGGTGCCTTTTTATGAATCGTTCGATTAGATGAAGAGCAAAAAAAAAAGAAATGTAAAATACATAGGTGATACATTTGTCACGCAAATTTCCCTTTAATGGTTGACTGCTTTTATTGGTAAGAAAAACTCGATTTTTTAATGTTTATTGGTAAAGTTTGATGTTGTGCTCGAAAGTAATCACGACACCGATGTCTTTCGCCCGTTAGAATTCTCCATGTTTAGAGAACAAGAAATTACACGAACGTAGAGTAGAAAACTTGTAATAATAACAAGCTTTGTGTGAAGCGTAAAAAAATCCAGCTTGTTGAATTAATTAGCGTTTTGCCAGACACGTTTCAACTTGTAACTAAAAAGGTTAGAAAGGGAATGCGCAGAGAGAATGTTTCGTCGTATTTATAAGTTTCATGTAAATTGGATATTTGGTTCTATCACATGACGATTGAGGTAGACGCGAATTTCTGAAATATCAAGACTCGAAAAAGAAAAAAAGAATCAAGAGCACAAATCGTATAGCCTTGAGTTTGTCTACATATCAATAATATAAAGTTATACTTTCTAATCTGAGAATAACTATTGCTCTGTCTAAATGTTCAAAAGTGCTAGACTGGCTTATAAGAATTTCAGATTTCAATCCAGTTGGGCAATTATGAAGAGAATAGAAGATGACTAAATGCCTTGTTACAAAAAAATAACTGGTCCAAAATTTTCCAAGAGAAAAACAGGAATTAATTGATAGATCGCTTCGACTTAACTTATTAATGGCGTGTGCCTGTTTTATATATGTGTGTTTGATATGTGTTTGTATGTGTTTTATAACACTCATGCCTAGACATATTGGCAATCTAATTACAGGAAAATTAAACGCCAAAATTTTATATACATGTTTATTTTACACAATATTCAAGCCAAAATCCAACTGTTAGTTGTTGAACTCAAACTGATTGGTAATATTCATTACTTTTGCAATGCACTGTAAATGGCTCACAATGACTTTTTTTGCGTCGACATCGTAACTTTCGTTCACTTTATGTGCGCGTGACACGGTAATGCACTGCAAATGTATTTATCAATGATACGGTAATACAGCGTATTGATTATGTACCTCAACTACAAGATACAAACGTGAAAAATTTGTATAGACACGATAATCAAAAAGTGTAAAATGGTTCAAAGGCGCATACGAAGATTATAGAGCCATTAAATAATTAAGATCATGTGGATTTTCTAGCAGGTGAGAAATAATTTATTCATTGACAGCTCTTTTATATGATTGCTTGATTATAAGAACCAATAGATAGAATACAATTGTTGAATGACGTCAGTCAAAATAATGATAGCGGCTCTTGTTGATCATGTTGACAGTTTGACAGTTGAATTATAAACGGCTATCATAATAACTTATTTTATTGGATAACGGGAATTGAATAACAGGATCTTATCAAGTATCATATCAGTCGAACATACATCGAAATTGGAACTTGATATTAAACAATATACAGTTACTACGAGATAGAAAATAACGTTCATTCTACAAAGATCAGTACAATGAAAGCTGTCTTGGTAGAATGTTTTTTTTCCTTGGTCATACTATAAATCGCATAAAGTTGCATGAATTTGAGATAAACAATACTTACTAGTTCCCCTAATACTAAATACGACCATTTCCGAACCCCGATAATGTCTATCTGCGTGGGAAAACGTGATGTCGTGGAAAACCACGTGTAAATGATTTTACCTCGTGGCAAAGCAAAATCGGTCGTTATATGCCCGTATAGTAGTCATATAGAGACCATAATATGTTATACATTTCGGTCGTTATAACAGCGGAGTTAAATATTCAATGAATATCACTATTATGCTAGCAATAACATTCTTTTACTATTTGTTCAAGTGCTTAGCATGTAAATTTCCCTCTTTCTCTTTATTAGAAAAGTACTCATTCATCATATGTATCTAACAGGACAGTGAAAAGACGTAAAAATGGATTTGGGTAGAGAGGAAATTTTTTGTAGCTCTATTCTATATCATGAATATGATCTTTGGTTTTTTGTCTTAATATAGTATCGAATTCTGAGTATTCGCCATTAAAACTATCTCCCTGCTGTTCCAAAAATAACAATGCCCGATTTAGAACGGTTTCTCCTTCCTTCATCTTCTTTGATACTAAATTCGCCTTCTGAATCCGATTCTACAGCACACTGTAATCCCATAGCCTGTGCAGTTATCTCTTCATCAGTCAATGCTTCTTCCGTAATGAGCAATTATCAATAGATATGTATTTAATTCATTAATTACCTGTTGAAATAGTCGAGCATTCTCTTTGGTGTTCTGCTTGAAGCAGTGACAAACTCTAGTTTTGCGCCAGCAGTTTATGATAGTATTTGGCTCATGGCGTAACCTTCATCCAGGCCTCTGCAACATTATATATGGCATGCTTAATATTGTACTCGAGAACCTCACCTGTACCATTTTCGTCAAGTTGATACGTTGTTGAATGAATGGTTTTCTGTATTGAGCCTTGAAACTTGCATCACATGGCTGGATGACTGAAGCCATATTTGATGCAAAGAAGCGAATAGTAATGTTGGTGAGTTTACTATCAGGATTGAATTTATGTACTGGAGCATTGTCAAGTAGCATCGGACGATTAGCTTTTCTCATTTCCGCATCAAACTTTCTTAACCAATCGTTAATCTTCGATTTGTTTTGTTTATGTCCACTCAATTTGCGATCCGATAATGTGCGTAATGGTTCCATGGCCCAATAAGGCCGGCATTGAATTCCACCGAGTTGGTTCTTCTTGAATGGACCGCCTTTCCTCAACCACTAATTCTTGATTGCTGCTTCAGCATGGAATTGAAACGTGTCACTAACGTTTATTATTACAGAAAGATCGCTCGCGAGAGAAGATTACCTCTTTCGGAATGGGCGACATCAAAATACTATAGTTATACTAATAACCTAAATTCATCATATAACAAGAGCTAAAATTGGCGTTTGAATTCAACGGGTCCCATCATTATTATCGCGACCTTACAAAGTGGGAACCCGATGAATATCATCTTCCAAGGATACATTAGATGACATACTGGAAAATTTCGAAGCAGAAATAGACGCACATACTATCGGAATTTAGATCATCTTGTGCTGGAATGTAATTTTTGTCTTGAATCAGCAATATATGACGGAAATCTGATGGAAAGACGTGACATATATCGACTCCACCTCGAGTGTCTCGTGCATTATATGGCAACCTACGTCTTGATCTTTTATGGGCATGGAATATTAATTAATTATCTCGGGGGAATTATCGTCACATTGCCATAGATTAAAAAAAATACTTCTTCCAGGGTCTTGTCGAACGCCTATCATTTGAATTGGAAGATGGAAGGATTGTTTCCTCCACAACTCCTGAACGCGATCCACCCGACGAAATGAAGACACCGAAGAGATTTTGTTTGTTACATGCATACTTTATCACCGATCGTTGTTCAAACGTCAAATTCAGCTTGATGTGAAATAAAAAATGAACGCCTTAGAGGCTATGTAGAGATTACAATTACTAAAGTTAGTCCAATATCACAAAATGAACAACACAATGCATAATTCTTTATCGAGTCGATTTCACAATCAATCTTTTCTCTGCGGTTGACTATAGTCTAACGTCTCTAATTTTCTTTCTTTCTTGTAATAGTAATTCACGACGAAATTAGCGTAGACTGCTTAATTTCTCGCATGAAAACGTTCAAGTCGGCTTTGCTGAAATAAATTGCAAGTAGTATTGATAAGTATATTTGGAAATACTTTTTGCTTGCCGAGTTAGTCTAATAATAAATTGTCTCCGATTGAATAGAGATGTTCTTCTACGTACAGACATGTCCGACAAATACATGATAAAATACATTAAATAGAAATTGCCAATTAACTATACAGTATAATAATGGTGGGCATAGCTCGCAGGATTGTTTTCTTATACTTCGCAGACGCAGTAATCACATGACTAAGACAAAATGCATAATGTGCTATAATGATGTAATAGGATAAGTATCATGTTACACAACTTGTATTTCCTGATATGGCAAGTCTGCCGGTTATTACTGTTTGAACAGAACTTCCCATTGTGATCAACCCCTGTTGACCTCTCTTTTTATTTTTGCATAATGGCTTTCCTGAGCGACGAAAAGAAATTGGAAATAATCACAAAATTCTTACTAGATAGTCCTCCAGGAGAAGTTAATGATGTATTTAATGGTATGTATATGAACGTCTTTGAGCCAAGCCTCATGGGTAACGATGATGGATTGAAATATTTCGATCACATTAACTAATTTTTTAATCGTAGACGTTAGGTCGCTTATGAACAATCCCGTAGTTTTTCAAGAAGGCATCCTTACGGCTTTAGAACAATATAACACGGAACAATTTGTTACAGTCACGC